TCTTGTGACTGAATAATGTGCAGGTTAGTGTATACTCCATCAGCAGTTTTCGTTTCTGTCAGCTTTGTGTTTTTGACTGTTTGGCGCCATCTTGTGGCTGAATAATGCCCAGGTTAGTGTTTACTCCATCTGTAAGAGCCATAAGTTCATTGTTTTTATTTATGTTAAAATAATAATAATATTAAAAAGCAAAAATATTGTACCAAGTAATACAATTTTTTAATATAGAGTATATGCTGATGTCATTTCTGGGAAGGAAGAAGTTGGAAGCAAGACAGTTTTTTAATCGTGTATTATAGTTCTGTTAAGTTGTTATTACACATTTTTCTAAACAACATCACTGGATTGTCTTATGTTACTCGTGTTAAAATCGTGCTTATTCAAAGAAAGAAATAAGGCAAGAAGAGATGGATTGATGGCACATACACCATTAGCAGTTTTTGTTGCTGTCAGCTTTGTGTTTTTGACTGTTTGGCACCATATTGTGACTGAATAATGCGCAGGTTAATGTTAGTGTATAGTATATCATCGGCTGTTTTCGCCATTTTATGACTAAGTAATTTAGAAGTTAGTGTATACTCCATCAGCTATTTTCATTTCTGTCAGCTTTGTGTTTTTGACTGTTTGGCTCTTGTGACTGAATAATGCGCAGGTTAGTGTATACTCCATCAGCAGTTTGGTTTCTTTCAGCTTTGTGTTTTTGACTGTTTGGCGCCATCTTGTGACTGAATAATGTGCAGGTTAGTGTATACTCCATCAGTAGTTTGGTTTCTTTCAGCTTTGTGTTTTTGACTGTTTGGCGCCATCTTGTGACTGAATAATGTGCAGGTTAGTGTATACTCCATCAGTAGTTTGGTTTCTTTCAGCTTTGTGTTTTTGACTGTTTGGCGCCATCTTGTGACTGAATAATGTGCAGGTTAGTGTATACTCCATCAGTAGTTTGGTTTCTTTCAGCTTTGTGTTTTTGACTGTTTGGCGCCATCTTGTGACTGAATAATGTGCAGGTTAGTGTATACTCCATCAGTAGTTTGGTTTCTTTCAGCTTTGTGTTTTTGACTGTTTGGCGCCATCTTGTGACTGAATAATGTGCAGGTTAGTGTATACTCCATCAGTAGTTTGGTTTCTTTCAGCTTTGTGTTTTTGACTGTTTGGCGCCATCTTGTGACTGAATAATGTGCAGGTTAGTGTATACTCCATCAGCTGTTTTGTTTCCTGTAAGCTTTGAGTTTGACTATTTGACGCCTTCTTGTGACAAAATAATGCGCAGGTTAGGGTATACTCCGTCCATCAGCTTTTTTTTGTTTCTGTCAGCTTTGCGTTTAATTCATAAGAATGAATAAATTTTTACCGCTCAGTACAATATTTTGTGTCTAATTTCTATATTTTGTGGCAAGTAGCCATGTAATAAAGGATAAAGTACACACAGGATGGTTGTTTTCACAGAATAAACCCCATAAAACCCTTCGCTTCTTGCTTACTACCTTTTTGCTGATTAGACTGTATTCTCCGAGAACTACTTTATCCCTAACATATTGGGAACATAATTAACATCAACCTCTTTTTTTTTTTCCTTAGGTGAATGGCAGCAGCAGAACATTCCAGATCACGCTTGTCCTAAATGTGGGGAAGTCCTACCTGACCTGGACTCCCTGCAGATCCACATCATGGATTGCATCATCTGAGCCTGTTGCCTAGTAACCTTACCAGATCCCCTCATATGTGAATGAGTGGTTTGATAGCTTTACCTTCTAGCACCCTGCAAATATACTGCTTCAATAACACCGGTCTACGAACCGTGCATCCTAATAATACTGTTATTTATCAGTCTGGAGGGTTTCAGATTAATACTATAGCTGCAATCGGTCGAGGATGAGAATGAGCACTTAATGTGTAGCTTTGACTGGTTGGATATACTCTAGCTGCATCCTGTATAATGAAAATGTGACATTAAGCTGATTCAAGACACTTGACCAATGTCAAATACTATGAGTATGAATATATAATGTTGCAGGTGGGCAATCAGTGTGACGTAATATCTGTTGTGGGTGAATTACATTATTGTTTGCGAACATATTTTTAAGATTAGCTCTAATATTTTTGAGTGAAGCAAGAGTTGTAGCTAAATTTATAATATATTTTCAATGCCCTGCGATAAACAGTGAGCAACAGATTGTTTGTTGGGACTGTAAAAATGTCAACGCACTTTATTTTGTTTATACGTACATACAAATAATTAAAATAAGTTTATAAAGCTCCAGCCTGTATTATCTATCACATATGGGTTCTCTCAGTAAGGTTCTTTCGAGTTGATTTCATAACTTTGGTGCGTAATAAAAAACAAATATGTGTAATATTGAATAGTCTGTCATTATTTATTTACCTTCAGACCATCATATGGTTATCAAAGTCAGCTTCAAGTCAGCTTTATTGTCAATTCAACAACATGTACAGGACATATAGAGAATCGAAATTACGTTACTCTCAGACCCTAGCTGCCTAACATATAACGTTAATACAAAAAGTAGAGTTTTAAGAAAGAATTTACAATAAATACAATTTTACATAAAATGTCATCTAAATATATGCCTAAAATTTAGTCTAAATATATACATAAATGTGATCTAAATATATACATAATCTGTATTAAAGAAAATTAAAAAAAAAAAGAAAGAATAAAAATTGTAGTCGATACAATACAATACAATACAAAAACATTAAGGGCATTTGGCAATGAGTGCAAACCAGAGTTGTGCAGATAGAACCGTATATAGTGCAAAAAGGCTTGTAAACAGGAAAATTATGATAAAGTGACAGATATATATATATATATATATATATATATATATATATATATATATATATATATATATATATATATATATATATATATATATATGGAGGTAGTCCAATGTTGCATAAAGTTATCTTTTAAACAAACAAAAAAACACAACTTGTGCTACTGCTATGCTCCAAAATCATAAGGACGATATACAATTTGTCTGTTTTTATTTTTACTACAAAGTCAAGCGATCATTTTATGTGACAATCAAGCCAATCTCATGTTTAGCTAGGCCACAACAATGACTTTAAATACTTTAAAGGTAGCATTAAAGTATTTTAGATTGGATTGAGATTCAACTTTATTGTTATAACACATGTACAAGGCAACGAAATGCAGTTTAGGTCTAACTTTGCATTTAACTAAAGATTGAATAAATCATTGCTGCTCAGTACAATGTTCTGTGTCAAATTGTTATATTTTGTCAAATAGCCATGTAATAAGCTGGATAAAGTACATACAGATGGGTTGTTTCCCCAGAATAAAGCCCATAATACCCCTTGCTTCATGTCTACTATCTTCCTTTCAGATTTGATTCAACGTTATTGTCATTACACAAGTGCAAGGCAACGAAATGCAGGTCTAATCAGGAGTGCAACAGCAGCAAGTGCAGGATAGCGGTATAAGTTAGTATAAGAAGTGCAGTTATAGAAAAAACTATGGTGATATTTACAGATGGATGTACTATTGTTATTATATACAGGTTGTATTAACTATGAACAGAGATTTACAATAGAGCTGCTATTAATAATGAGAAGTATGCAGATACATATGAACAATTACAAAGGTTTATGTACAGTGGGTATGTACAATTCAAGATGACTTGAATGACAATTAATAAATGATATAGTGTTTATGGGGTATGGTACAGTAAGTTATGATGAGAGTAAGGGGGTGTATGAGGGGGGCAAAAGAGTCAGTGGAGGAGCAGAGTTCAAAAGGGAGACAGCTCTGGGGGAAAAGCTGTTCCTCAGTCTGCTGTTTTTTTTTTTTCCGGGGGAACCTGAAGCACCTGCTGGAGGGCAGGATAGAAAACAGTCTGTGACCAGGGTGAGAGGAGTCCCTTGAGAATACTGTATGCTCGTATTTTGTAATACTCTCTCATTTTATGTATACATATGTTCTTTTTTGGGGGACACTGCAGTCCATATCCTTGCCTACTTTAATATTTTAAATGATCTGTAGTCCAAATAAACGAATGTTTACAGGCATAACATATGTGATTAGCAGATAAAGTGGGGAATTTATCAAGTGCTACAAGTGAGGAATAAATCTGTGAGCAGAAATAACAAAATGGATTTGACAGCCAGATCCATTGATGGGCATTTTTGGTGTCGTCCCTGAGAATATTTCAGTAAAGATATACATGTACATTCGGTTATTGCTTTCACTACATTACTAGCAAGACATTTAATATTATTCAAGTGGAAAAGAGTAGACCCCTAAACACACGCTGGCAACACAAATTGGAAAAGATACAATACATGATTCGAGGCTCGAAATGCAAGTTCCTAGACAGATGGCCCCCCTTTATTAAATACTTTGAGGAGCTCCCTGGCCTTTAGAATAAATGCATTTGTTTATTTTTCTTTTCTTTTTTCTTCTGTTATGTCTATTTTGTGCTCTTTGGATGTCACCATACTCTTCATGTCAAATGATAACAAACTTGCTAAAAATATGACAATGTATGATGTACAATGTAAGATGCACCTATTTAGTATATTCCTTCTTTTAGATGTTGCCAAGCCTCTCGTGTTAAATGGTAACTTATGGACTGAACAAATATGGTACTGTTTTCTCACTGTCAACTCAGAAACTCTGGACTGGTATAAGTTTAATTTTTATTAATTTTCTTTTCTATCAATGCTGTGGTTGTGGTTGGGGTAATGTAATGCTTTGAATTATAGATGCAAAAAAACTCAATAAATAAATATTCAAAAAAAGAAAAAAAAGGATTTGACCACAAGGCATGAATTTGATTAATCTAACCCTGATTAACCTAACCCTGTGCATATGCCAAAGTAGTTGGCGGTTCATTCCGCTGTGGTGACCCCTAATAAATCAAGGACTAAGCTGAAGGAAAATGAATGAATGTATGATTTTGACACGCACTAAACACACTTCAATAAGTCAATGTTCAATGCAAAACACACACAGATGGTTCAGTGATTGCTGTTCAACTTTATTGTTATCGAGCATCACACAAAGGAGGCTGTCTCAGAGCATAGCTTTACAAGTTGAAACTTATTTTGCTTCATACCTGTAAAAGAAGGTTCCTTTGTTCAGATAGCAAGTAACGGCGAAAGACCCATACTGAACTAATTTGTTGCAAGTGCCCAAATGATCGTCGAAAGTCTTGTCTTTGTCCCAAATCTCCAGCTTCACGTCATCACCGCATTTGCAGTTTGGGAAGTTGAACTCTGCAGACCATGTAGGATTAGCGTTATCCTTGTGATATTCAGTCTGCCCCCCGGAAACAGCGCCACACCAGACCTTCACGTAGGGATCGGGTTCGTTTCCGAAAGGATCCCCGGTGAGGTCCCTGGCATGCAAGCCAAACACCCGAACAGAAGCACTGGCAAAGTCCAGCTGAGACGCCAGCATCAGCACGGCCAGAGAAACCAGCCGGAGATCACAAAAGACTGCCATGACTGTGAGAAACAATATATATGTTACATTTTAGTGTCACTTTAACACATACAGAAATACCTGGATTATATCTAAGGTGTGATTCCAATGTTAAAGATGTCTTACCTTGCTTGTGTTAGGTGTCGTGTGCTTGTTTTTTGATCCAGGCCCCCTTTATAACGCAATCACCAACGCAAAATTTGTTCATTTGCTGATCAACAGATGGGTAAATCCCATGCATATCTGCTATCAGATTTGCTGAACCAACTTTTTTTTTTATGTTGGCACATTTAAATGTGTCAATTCAGCGAGTTCAAAGTGATCTTAAACATCCACTGCTCTTTGCCAGCTACCAAAACACTGATTTTTCATTTATATACACTGTTAAAATGCTGGGTTTTACACAACATGTAGGAATTAACTTATTAGTTTTTACAAATTTAAGTGGATTGAACATGAAGCAATTAAGTTGCCCCGTCTAAAAACCTCAAGAATTGTGTTATTTCAGCTCATTTTAAATAAGTAGTTTGAACAAGCAGCAATATAATTGTTTCATAAGCAGATAACAGCTTTCATTTTTATTTTTGACTTATAAACAACCTGACACTGCAGTTAATTTCATCCTATATTTATTAACACTCAAGAAACCTGTTATCTTCATGCAAACATCATTTAATTTTGGTTTGATCGCTTCAACAATTTAAGATCCATGACATGTTTCACTGCTTTTAATTGTTGTGCTTAAGGCCCAACAGCCAAATACAGGTGGCATATATTACTATATTATCTCTTTGAGAAGCTGCTGTGCCATGTACATTAAAGGTTTTAGCATCATTGTAAAAATGTGTCACATATTTAATTCACTTGGTGGGCACATTTGTTTTTGTGTGTTGCTAAGCTGTAGATATTTTGGAAAGCACATTGTTATGGAACTGCTCCAAGTCAAAGCACAATCTGACTGATATGCAGAGGAGCGTCTTGCTCAAGGACAGGACACAGAGCACATGTAAATTAGCACAATCCTTTAAAGGGATAGGTCACGCACTAATAATAATAATAATGATGATGATGATGATAATAAAACAATAACAAAGCAATAAAAACACTGCTACTAATTTGCATGCTCTCAGGCTATAAAATATGCAGGTGAATTTTTCAGTAAATGTTTTTAAGCCAAGACTGTGATACATACTATACTGCTAATCAGTTTGAGAGCCAAAGAATAGGAAAATATTTTCAAAAACTGTGTATACCTGTGATTTGCGCATGAGATTGAACATTATACGCAATATTATGGTCTCATTTACAGGCTTTAGTGCAGGGGTGTCCAAACTCGGTCCTGGAGGGCCGGTGTCCTGTTGAGTTTAGCTCCAACTTGCTTCAACACACCTGCCAGGAAGTTTCTAGTATATCTAGTAAGAGCTTGATTAGCTGGTTCAGGTGTGTTTGAGTAGGCTTAAAGCTAAATTCTCCAGGACACCGGTGTCCTGACATTTTATTCTACCCATCAGATTATGCTACCAACATTGTATTTGAATGGTTCTGAGATTGGGGTTAGGGATTAGGTAGGTTAGGGCGATATTACAGCTTCATACCACATAAAAAATTACACTGGTAGCAAAATCTGATGGGTAGCATATTTCATCATCAAAATGTGCTACCTAATCTGACATGGGAGGACAAATGGACAGAACACCAGCCCTCCAGGATTGAGTTTGGACGCCCCTGCCTTAGTGTAGCATCAAGAGCCACAAGTATTAATTTTGTATTGCTCTTATGAATTTTTTATGTTACTCTCAAAATAAAATAGCCATTGACTTGAGTTTTAGGAATCCCTAAGGACTAATTTCAGCAACAACAACAAAAAAAAAAAAAAACCATACTTATTTAACATTCTACTGAACAATAAAAAGTCACCTTTTTTGTATAGTCTCAAGTTGTAATATTTGGGTGGACTATCCCTTTAAAACATTAGACATAGTAAAAAATAAACAAATAAAGGCAATTTGGGGCAAATATAACTGCAAGTTAATAACTGCTTGTATATATTATACCTTTCTGCATTGAATGTATTTAATACAAAAGTAGAGAGTCAGTGCCCTCTTGTGGTACATTTAGTAAATAATGTAATGGTCTATGTAAATGTTTCTGTAAGACCCATCCTGACTGTTTTCTTCAAGCACCCGCAATTAAGAAAGGGAGTTGTGGAGATCAAATTTTCCTGTGCCAGACTATTTGCGATCAGTAACCTCCCAGCAAACAATTTTGTGTTTAATAGACGTCTAATAGACATCTGGGCTAAAACACTTCAGTGACTTGAGCGACTTCTACGACCTCTATGTCTTGATTCAGTAATTTCACTTTTATGACAACGAAAAGGTTGTTTTCAGCAATTTTAACATGAAATAACTGAACATAAACATAGGAGGCAGAGAAAAATTCTCATTGTAGAAGAAAATTCTAGATGGCACTTAAGAGGTTTTTATATACAGTATATATATATATATATATATATATATATATATATATATTTTTTTTTTTTTTTTTCACAATGGTACCTGTTGTGCATTGTTCTATTATTTTTGGGGAGAAGCCTGCATAATTTTTAATAAAAGCAACAACTATCTGGTTGAATAAAAGAAACTTTAAGTCAGAATTTGCCTGGGGTATTAATAATTTTATGCTTGACTGTATTTAAGATATCCCAGTACTGGGTTGAGGCTGGAAGGGCATTCGCTGCATAAAATATATACCAGAATAGTTTGCGGTTCATTCCTCTGTGGCGACCCCTGATAAACAAAGGCAAGAGACTAAAGCTGACTTTTCTCCCCATAGACTTCCATTCATACACACGCGAATGCGTCAGACCGAAAAATGCAAGCTCGTGCGACAAGTTTAGCAGTTCGCTGCATTGCAAAGTTCAAGCTTGGTGAACTTTGACCTACGAAATCGCATCACTTAACTGCGTGAGACCAATCAAGGATCAAAACATGACCTCTCTGGACAGAAATAAAAAATATGGACCAATCACTAGTTTTTTTAAATGTCTAATCTTCTTGTTTAATCCCGCTTCTTTTCACAGAATTTGGCAAGCTCAAACTCTAGTGTGACCGAAGCCGTAGGCCAGGGGTGTCGAACTCAATCCCTGGAGGGCCGAAGCCCTGCACAGTTTAGTTCCAACCCTGCTCCAACACACTTACCTGAAGGTTTCAAACAAGCCTGAAGGACTCAATTAGTTTGATCAGGTGTGCTTAATTAGGGTTGGAACTAAACTGTGCAGAGCTGCGGCCCTTTTGGAACTGAGTTTGACACCTGTGCCGTAGGCGAAGGAAAATGAATGAATGTAGTGTACGCAAGTGTCATCATCCAACTTCAGCTGTATGTACCAATGTAGACATTTCTGCAGTGCAACCAATAGGAATTGAACAAATAATGACCAACATCTAATCACAGACCAAAACACACAGACATTGGTACCTTTCCATTGAAGAGACCAATCGAGGATCAAAACATGACCTCTCCAGACAGAAATGAACAATATGGACCAATCGCTCACCTTTTTAAATGTCTAATCATCTTGTTTAATCCCGCTTCTTTTCACAGAATTAGGCAAGCTCAAACTCTAGTGTGACCGAAGATGAGGCGAAGAAAAATGAATGAATGTACTGTACGAAAGTTTCATCATCCAACTTCAGCTATATGTATTAATGTAGTCATTTCTGCAGCGCCACCAATAGGAGTTGAACAAATAATGACAAACATCTAATCCCAGGCCAAAACACACAGACATTGGTACCTTTCCATTGAAGAAACAAAATTAAATTAAATTAAATAAAAAGTGTTTGATTCAATTCTTATTTCATTCAGTGATGGTAATAAATGTTTCATAACCACCAAATCTGCATAGAATTTCTTGCAACATTAAAGACACTCACAAAAGGCTTAATTTGTCTTATTTTATTAGAATAAAATACATATATATTTTTAAAGCAAAGTCAGCAGCTGGTACATTTGAAATAACATCTCACAAGTCAAAATACACAGGTCATAGTGTATGCTGTTCAATTTTATTTCCACCGAACACCCTTACAAATGTGGAACAGATTTATTTCACATCATACTTGAAACTCATAGTTCCTTTGCCCACAGAGAAAGAAACCTTATTGTTAGTTCCTGATGCCACGGTTCCACTATACGAGCCAATGCGATCGTCATACTTCGCGTCTTTGTCCCACACCTCCAGCCTTATAGTGTTACGGGAAACACAGCCTGAGAGGTAGTACTCTGCATCCCAAGAAGGATTAGCGTTGTTTTTGAAATAGCCCGTCACCACAGAAGAGCTACCGCACCAAATCTTGACGTATGGGTCTGGTTTGTTTCCCAAAGCATCACCAGGGAGGTTACTGCCTTTTAAACCAGACAGCACAACAGCGGCTTTGGCAAAGTCTAGCTGAGATGACAGCATCAGGACGGCCACAAACACCAGCTGGAGATGGGTGAAGACTGCCATGGCTGTCGTAAGAGAAAAGGTTGACACAAATTAGGGCCACACAATATATCGTTTCAGCATTGATACAGTAGTTACATCGCAGTATATGCAATTATTTGCATGTGTTTTTGAGGCATAAGCAATTGTATCATTTGTAATTTTAATAAGGACTATTTGTCATGGATTTTTTATTCAGTGAAGACAGTATTATTTTACATGTGAATATTTAATTGTCTGAATGTACCTGAATTCTCTTAGACCTTATCTAATTTGCATCTTTATATTGTATTTATCTATGATTATGCACGGTTTTTATATGTTATGCATGATTCACTCCCCTATACAATCATCGCAATTAATCTAAAATTATTAATTCTTTCCCAATAGAGATGTTCAAGTTATCTGGTTAAATTATATTCATAATCGCAATACATATTGCAGAAAGACAAAATATTACAATGTTCATTTTTTCCTATATTGCGCAGCTCTAATGTAAACATTAATGTTATCATAAAGCCCATAATAAAAGATAATAACAAGAAGCTGAGGCAATTTAGTGTTGAAGATGCCTTACCTCAGTTGTTCCGGGTTCCGTGTGAACTCCTTATGATCTTCACCCAGTTTATAAAGCCGATATAATCACAAAAATCTCCTTGATCAACAGGTGCGAAAATCCCATGAGCATCTGCGTTGGCCTACTTTCCACGGATCACCCAAAAATGTTTCCAAAATATATACGTATTCAAATATTCAGAGTAATTATCTGCCCTGTTATTTAAGAAGAGTTCATTTGCTAAAAACAGACACAGCTTTTAATCATGTACGTGAATTAATGATAAATTTATTTGTTTAAAATGCAGAAAACACTGGGTTGTGTCTGTTGTATAGTTGTGTAACTGTTGGTTTTAAACTTTAATATATATAAAAAAAAGCATTTTAACCCCTTTAACTCCCCCATCAAGAGAAAAAAATGTTTAGAAAAACATAGAAAAAACTCGTTATGTCACTAGTTAATGCATTTTTTTTTCAACAGTTGCCATACATTCATTCATTTTCTTGTCGGCTTAGTCCCTTTATTAATCCGGGCTCGCCACAGCGGAATGAACCGCTAACTTATCCAGCAAGTTTTTACGCAGCGGATGCCCTTCCAGCCGCAAACCATCTCTGGGAAAAGATGCTATACAGTAATTTATAAAATATCAGCCTCTACCAAATCGTTGATATGTCGGTTTATGGTAAAAGTACCATAATTAATACATATACTATGAAAAATCTGAAAATAAGAATTGAAAGCCTATTTTTTTTTTTTTTTATTAAAAATGAAACGCCTTTGACTAGTAACAAAGAGCTTACACTGACCAAGAGGCGACAGTCAATAGAATGTTCTATTGTAACAGCAGCGCCCAGCAACAGCCCTGGTTTCCGGCATTTTAGAGTGAAAGCGATCGGCTGTCCATTGGATCTTATTGCTGTTGTGATTGCGAGCAGCTTCTTTGTTTTTTATTTATTTATTTAAAAAAACGCATTAAAGCTGAGATACAACCTAAAAGACGACAATACAACACTTACTATCACAATCATCAGCACTCTTAATAGTTTATTTTAAAGACTCATAATATGCTGTTGTTCTATTGGAGTTTTCATTCAAAAATGGCCGCCGCCATCTAGTGGCTGTTTCACAAATTGCACTTGAGTGTCGCCTCTTGGTGATTCTATGCTCTTTGATACGAAATCACCTTTATTTTTTGAGGCATGTCATGGAAATATTACTTATTTAACATGTTTTCGTTTTTTCCTTTTTTTCTTACAATAAAATCAAAATCAAGTGTAACAGTGCAACAGGATTATGTTTCTTTGATTTGTTTTATTTTTTATTTTTGTAAGCCAACAATGCTGTGTAGTGTGAACCATTATTTAAAACAGTCATTCTTTAAATTACTAACAGTCATTATTTAAAACAGTGGTCAATCATTTGGTAAAGTGGCAGTCAAAGGATTAAGAAGAGTGAAAAAAAAGGAAGCACTTGGCAAAAATATACACTGTAAAAAATCCTGAATTCTAGTTGATTAGTGTTGGGACAACATGTTAACTTAGTTTTTTTTTACAAGTTTAAGTGTATTGAACATAAAACAATTGTTTGCCCCCCCAAAAAATCCTGTTTTCTGATCTAATCAGTCGGCATCAAACCTCTCACAGAGTTACATGGGCAACTGCTAATGGTGACTGTCTAGTGCCAAAGTGTAAGACCTCATTTGGTTAATCTGTCTTCTCTGTAAAGGGAGCCAAACTGTAGAATTATTTACCTGTTAGCCTAAAATCAGAAAGTAATATAAATATTATTAGTAGTGTTTTTAAAAGTGTTTAAAAACAAAACAGCAGTGTTTGCACAAATAGTCTACTGTTAGTTTGTTGGATCATGTCGCCTTTGCTTTTGCCTTCAGTAATTTTATGTAAAGAATTATAATGTTGTATATAGGTTTTTTTAGGCCACCTTTAGACAGGTGTTGAGGATTACCAAGTTCGCTAAAACACTTAAACCAATGCATCTGGTTGCCCAGTGTAATTGTGATGTCCATGTCAAATAAATAAATAAATAAATAAAATAAAAAAAACTCAAGAATTGTGTTGTTTCAGCTCGTTTTCAGGGGCGGATATCACCAATAAGCAGGGTAAGCGGCTGCTTAGGGCCCCAGAAAATCTAAGGGCCCCCAAATAAATACCTAGAAGTATTAATTATATCTATAAATTATGTATAATGGCAGCACGTTGGCGCAGTGGGTAGCACATTAGCCTCACTGCAAGAAGGTCGCTAGTTCGAGCCTCGGCTGGATCAGTTGCATGTTAAGTGGTTGCATATTCTCCCTGTGTTGGTGTGGGTTTCCTCCGGGTGCTCCGGTCACCCCCACAGTCCAAAGACATGTGGTATAGGTGAATTTTGGTTGGCTTAATTGTCCGTAGTGTATGTGTGTAAATGTGTGTGTGTGTGTGGATGTTTCCCAGTAATGGGTTGCGGCTGGAAGGGCATCCGATGTGTAAAACATATGCTGGATAAGTTGGCGGTTCATTCCACTGTGGCGACCCCTGATTAATAAAGGGACTACGCCGAAAAGAAAATGAATGAATGAATAAATGGATTCGTTGCTGAAAGAAAGTTGTGCACGTACAGACTTGGGGGGACACAGAGTGCATGTGCACATGTGGAGTAATTCACACACCTTTATCAAATAAGATCAGGGTCAGATAAATATTGACAAACTGCTCAAATTACATAAGAACAGTGACCCGAATTAAACCCCAGAGACCCCAGGATAAATAGTAAAAATATTAATCACTTTACCTCGGCTAACCAAAAATAAATCATGATTTTGCTACAGTAAACACATTTTAACCAGGGTAGCTATTTAGGTGGTGTAATGACATACATACAAATACAAACATAATACAAACATAAAAAAATAAAACAACAACAAACCCAACATTTGTAGTGCACCCCCACCATGACATTTACTATAACAAACTAATTTCTGTAACAAATAAAAGGACAATCTTGCTCACAATGAAATGTACTCACCCTCGTGTCGCATCGCGTCTTTCTTCTGTGGAGACATGGAGTACTTTGTTAACGTTTACTGTTCGTGATGTAGAATGCTGAGGGAAGGAAAGAAGTTACGTAAATTTACTGTAAGTTATAGAGTATTATCTGCGCCCAAACAAACTAAAAATAAAAGTCACTTTACCTGATGATCTTCACCTGACGTTGCGTTATGCGTGATTGGCTTGTGTATTGGATGAATCGATTCATTCATTCACACGATTCACATGAAGCGATAAACGACTCGTCTGGTGTGCATAATTGAACATAACCACACGACACGAATGTAAAGGTATTACACGTGTATTGTGTGTGTCCAAGGTTAAAATAAAACTTGTTAACCTGATGTTGGAGTTATTGTAATAATGACGTGACGGCATTAATCTTGAAACGTAATGGATGTGTTTACCTCATAAAGTAGGCTACTATTGACTTAAGTAGCCTATGCTATACAGTATGACAGTTTATTTATTTATTTATTTATTTATTTTAAACTCTGAACAGCGCCTACATTAGCTATTATAGTAAGAAATGGGGCTTTATTACTGCTTTGATTTGCCTAACCATAGTTTTACTACACTTTTTCACTGTTGTAAATGTTCAACATCATGGTGAATTGGTTATTACATTGTATCATAATAATGTAAAAAAAAAAAAAAAAAAAAAAAACAAGGTTAATTCTTGGTGTGAATTAGAATGACCCCCTTTCGTATTAATTCAATTCAATTCAATTCAGCTTTATTTGTATATTTGTACAATGTAGATTGTGTCAAAGCAGCTTCTCATAAATGGTCATAGTAACTGGAACAGTGTAGTTCAGTTTTTAGTGTTTAAGTTCAGTTCAGTTCAGTTTAGCTCAGTTCAGTGTGATTTAATCATTACTGAGAGTTCAAACACTGAAGAGCAAATTCATCGATGCATAGCTCTACCAATCCTGAACCATGCGAGCCAGTGGCGACAGCGGAGAGGGAAAAAAAACTTCACCTGATGGGAGTGAAGAAAAAAAACCTTGAGAGAACCAGACTCAGTTGGGCACGACCATTTTAATTTCTCCGCTGGCCAAAAGTTTTGTGCAGAGCTGCAGTCACCGCGGGGTCAGGAGTCAGGTTTTGGTTTGTATACAGTAGGTTTTCTCAGTATGGGTTTTGTTTTGGTTAGGGATCTTCATAACATCTGCACCCCAGTAACCTTTATTTATTGGTTAATTATTTATTTTGGGTTTACATGATCAGAAAATTAAATCTTGCTTCATTGAAAGACCCCTCACAAGAAGCATTTCTCCAAGTAGATTTTATTGAATATCAATTGCATACAGAGCATATTCAAAAGGCTATATTCAATGCATATTGTTCAGTGTTTTTTTCTAGCTAGTTACACATTAGAACATATTTATTGCTTGAGCTCATACTTGTAAAACAGAGATCCTTTTTTCAGATGACAAGTAACAGAGGACAACCCATATTCCACAGTTTTAGTACATGTGCCCAACTTATCATCGAAATTCAGGTCTTTGTCCCACACCTCCAGCTTCAGGGTTTCTTTCGATTTGCAGTTTGGGAAGTTGAACTCTGCAGACCACACAGGATTAGCGTTATCCTTGTGATATTCTGTCTGCCCCCCGAAAGTAGAGCCACACCAGATCTTGACGTATGGATCGGGTTTGTTTCCGGCAGGATCTCCAGTGAGGTCTCTGGCATATAAAGCAAACACCCGAACAGAAGCACTGGCAAAGTCCAGCTGAGACGCCAGCATCAGCACGGCCAGAGAAACCAGCCGGAGATGATTAAAGGCTGCCATGACTGTCAGAAAGAATATGGTAGATTTAATACAGAAATAAGAGCATAAATTCAATGTTAACAGTAGCAAGAAGCCTTACCTCACTTGTTTTGGATGCAGTGTGAACGCTTTAGGATTCTCAAACCCTTTATAAAGCCGATGCGGTCGCTGAAATCTTACAAAGGATGATCAACAGGTGGTGAATTCCCATGTGTGTTCATTTTCTGTGTTGGCCTGTTTATTTTTGTCAGGTCTCCAAGAACACAGTAACGAATTACACTCCCTGATCCGTTGATTCTCGATTTCTGCTGCAACATTCAGATAGTAGTGTCGAAACTTGGCATGAACACCATGAAAGCGTGAATCCATCTGGTCTTTATTAATGGTTGAACATCTACTGTGGTATATGTGTGAGCAGTGTTTATTTATTATATATAAATGCACACAAGAGTGGACATATTGATATATATCAAGATTTGTTTTGCATACAGTATATACGAATGACACAATATTTAACTGTAATATAAACCATCATAATGTATGAGGGTTATGCAGTATGTTACTGTATTTTAAAGTTGCATTGTGAAAATATTTCACAGTAAAGATATACATACAATACTGTAAACAAAAATACAGCAATATAATAGTACTGTAAATGTAAATACCGTTTTTTGTGGTAATTGATTTACAGTAAGTTACAGTAGATTTGAGGGTTAATATATATCTTATATATTATTACAGAGTTTTTATTATATATATATATATATATATATATAAATGTATTGCTTAAACTCATAATTGGTGAGGGTTTTTCCTCGCTGCTGTCGCCACTGGCTTGCATGGTTCGGAATCTGTAGAGCTGCGCATCGATGGATTTGTTCTTCAGTGTTTGGACTCTCAGTAGAGATTATTAAACCCCACAGAACTGAGCTAAACTGAACTGAACTTAAACACTGAAAACTGAACTACACTGTTTTAATTTACTATGATCTTCTATGTAAAGCTGCTTTGACGCAATTTACATTGTAAAAGCGCTATACAAAAAAAGGTGACAAGGAAACGGTAATGACCCATTCTGCACCGCTATGGTACAAGTGTCCAAGAGATCATCGAAATTCAAATTATATATGAATATCCATGAATGCATATTTTAGTTTTGTATATTAGTGTTTTTTTAAAACATTTTTTACACAATTTTAAATTGATTCAAATTAAAATGTTAATACAACCAGCTTCAGAAAATTGAGTATACTCGACTTTCAACCCAAGTACTGCCACTCGATTTAAACGGAGTATTCTCTAAAGCATCCTAAAGCTGGTTGCCTTAAAATTAAACGTTGAGTCAATGTTTTTATTTTATTTTACAGTGCTGTAAAATATTACTGGTTGCCTTAATTTTTTTAAGTGAACCTTCACAAACTAATTTCAAGAGGAGCTATATCAATTAATCATGGCAGGTCTCGCATCTGCAATCGCAAGTAATCAGATTAATCCAAACTCACTATAAGTAGCCTGTCTAAAACTACTCCAACCTCACCATCCACCCCATCTTCCCCCCTTCCCTCTTTTACCAGGTGAGCTCTCGAGAACTACCTGATCTCGTATTCCCCCCTACATGCTTTTCGACCAGGCTGGAGCCCTGGCTTTATCTATCTCCGAACTCAGGGTTCTCTCTCAGGACAGCATGCCAAACTAACCAATATTATCAAGCAATATCCAAGTGAGAACTCTTAAATTAAATCAAATTATCCTCATTTTAACTTACAACACCTTAAACAGACTTTAAAAAATCTTGTTTAACTTAAACAATAAGTTAGAAATATAATTAGGTTAATATAAAAGCAGTATATCGTCATGATCATATCATTTTTCACATTGTATATGTGTATAGGGTATATGCCGAGCTAGTGCTGTTCCCATGCTGATACACGTCCGGTGACCTGTTATTGTGAACTTGTTACCATTTTATACGGTTCCTTATACAGCATCGATGTTGTAATGTCATTAAAATACATTCAGTTAAATAAACTTTAGCATTTATTTAGTTGCTCAAGCGTTAAACGAGACAAAAAGCCGTTTACTCGCACGCGCCCATCAGAATCGGCAGGCTAACGCAGAAGCTCCATTGAATATGCTGGGGTAAAATAAATGCTCATATTATAAAGACATGGCGGGGGAAATGTAATTTAATGCAGTGCTTCTTGTACAATCTGAGACCCACTTTAAATCGGATATCACTCAGCTAGTGGAGATCGCTGATTTTTAAAGAAAACAGACCTTAAACGCACTGGATTTTGCATTGGCATTCAAATCGCCGGAAGCGCTTAACCCAGCTTACTGGCAAATTAAAAGTCCTATTAGCATACTTCGGCATATACTCCATTTATATATCAATAACAAATATACAAAGTACACACACACATATTATTTAAATACATAATTTTATTTTGGATAATTAGGCTAATTGTTGCCTGACATTAGTAACTACTGAATAAGAGATTATCTTGATCATCTTAAAGCTTTTATCAGCATTTTTAATGAACAGATTGAAAGCGTTTAACAAATGAGGAAATACATTAGCATTAAATTTCAACCAAGCATACAGCTGAAGTCAGTATTATTAGTCTCCTTGTATATTTTCTTCCCCCTATTTCTGTTTAATAGAAAGAACATAACAGTTTTAGTAACTCATTTCTAATAACGGATTTCTTTTATCTTTGCCATGATGACAGGACATAATATTTGGCTTTATAGTTTTCAAGATACAAGTATTGAGCTTAAAGTGATATTTAAAGGCTTAACTAGGGTATAACATTGTATAAAGATGGTTTGCTCCGTACACAATCGAAAACAAATACTGTTGAAGGGAGCTAATAATATTGAAAAAGGTAGAAACTGCTTTCATTCTAGCCTAAATAAAACTAATAAGACTTTCTCCAGAAGAAACAATATTATAGGAAATACTGTGAAAAATTCCTTGCTCTGTTAAACATCATTTGGAAAATATGTGAAAAAGAAGAGGGCTGATAATTTGCATATCAATGCGAAAACATACTCTGCAGAGCGTTCATGACATTTTTTTATTACCATCAATCTACTTACAGTGGAAATTTGTCTCAAATAAGCTTTGGTACAAATCATCTCAACTCATACTTGTAGAACAGAGTTCCTTTCGACAGATGACAAGGAATGTCAAATGACCCATACTGCACGGTTCTAGTACACGTGCCCAATTTATCATCAAAAAACAGATCTTTGTCCCACACCTCCAGCTTCAGGATCTCAGTAGCTTTGCATATGGGGAAGCTGAACTCTGCAGACCACTCAGGATTATTAGTACTGTTGAGAAACTCCGTCATCCCTCCAAAAGTAGAGCCACACCAGATCTTGATATACGGATCGGGTTTGTTTCCGATGACATCTCCAGAGAGGTCCATGGCGTGAATATCAAACACTCGGACGTCAGCTTTGCCAAAGTCCAGGTGAAACGCCAGCATCAATACGGCTAGAGACACCAGCCGAAGATCATAAAGGACTCCCATGGCTGAGGAACAAAACAAATTGGATTATAATAAAGATTTAAGACAGAAATATTGAACTTATAGTATATTAACTCATACTTCACTCGCACTGGTGTCCGTATGAATGTTACCAAAACCTCACCCTCTTTATAAAGCCAGTGCAGTCAGAAAAATCCTTCAAAAGAGGAACAACAGGTGCTTCAATCCCAGGAGTCGCTGTGTGGAGTTTCAGTCTGGTTGTTTTGCATTTCACAGGTTGCACAGAAAGCATAACATTGTGTGGGAAGCCTAAACGCAAGGCATTCAAAAAATTTCACCAACATTAAAAAAAAGACAGATCTAATTAATAATAAAAATATTAAATTGAATATAAAAAGGTGAATATAACTATTTACAAATGTTGATGTCTTGTCATTATTTTATGATAATTTTTCTTATGCATTTTTATGATAATTACTGGTTGGACTATACAACAAAAGCCTGTATAATATTAATATGCACTTTAAAGAATATTTTTTGCAGGAAAGTTGTTTTTCTGACTTGGTCAAAAACAATCATACAGAAGTGTAATGGCTTCATTTTTTTTAAAGAAACTTGTTTTTTTAGTCACCCAGTACAGATTTGAATATGGAGGAGTGAGTGTTGGCAAATTCACAAAGAGTAGGGCATGTACTCATTTTGAAAGGACAGGACACCGAGTGCAAGGGCACACATGGTGTCATTCACACCCTTATCAAACGTCTGTATTAAAATACAAATTTTAAAAAAGTCCCATTTTGGCAGTGCATCAAATGAAATTGACGCAAGTGATTTTGTACACATAGAAAGCACACAGTATTAACTAAAAGTAAAGTGTATACTATAATGCTGCAAATACAAATAAAAAAGTGCTTTTCAATTGCCTTGTTTCTGTTTTTAAACTGCACTGATGTGATGCGTCTTTTTTGCTTTTTGGGGTGACACTCCTTGAAAAAAGTCTTGTTGCTTATTTAAGTTTAAGGAACAACAAATAATAACTTGACTTCTAGTTAATCACTTGATATGAGAAGTGGCTTATATGAAAGGCAAAAGCCTCTAGATTACGCTTATTTTACCAAAATAAATTATGATCATGCCTTGATTTTTAATGATTTATTTAGGACAGTAAAATCTGACTTTGCTTAGACAAAAGTCGTGTCACTTAACAGAAATAATGTCCAGTATAGAATATAAAGTCATGCTGCAGTGGAAACAGAATGAATATTGTGTATGACTCCCATGAGCTTGGAGGACTGCATGACCCTTACTGAATGTAACCCCAAACCATGATTTTTCCTTCACCAAACTTGACTAAAACTGTGAGAATATTGGGTCCATGTGGGTTCCAGTAGGTCTTCTGCAGTATTTGTGATGCAGTTTAACAGATCAACAGTTCAACAACAGTTCAAAAAACGAAGAAGTGAAGTAATTATTTGTTGCTCTTACAACTGGGATCGACGACAGGTAGATTATATACAAATCATAACTATATTCCTTGAACAACTGGATTTGTGTATGAACATAGATAGATAGATAGATAGATAGATAGACAGACAGACAGACAGACAGACAGACAGACAGACAGACAGACAGACAGACAGACAGA